TGGTGTGTTTAAATATTTTTCTTTGTTCTGTTATTATTTTCTTGTTTAAATTGATAGGAGACTATCTCTAGTTTGATGTCTTTTATTACTTTTACAATACTCTCAGCCATTATCTTATAAAACATTTCTTCTTCCCAGTTTCATCCTCTCCTTCTGAGACTCCCAATTACACTGTCTGGAATCGGCCTACAGATAATGGATCTTTTATTTCTTCCATCATTTTTTCTCTGGTGTGTGTCAGTTTGGGTAACTTCTATTTATCTATTTTCAAATTCACTGAGTTCTTTTCCCAGCTATGTCAAATCTACTGATGAGCCCCTCAAAGGAATTTTTCATCTCTAAAACTGTTTCTTATGTCAAGCATTTCAATTTAACTTTTCCCAATAATTTCCATCTGTCTGCTAAAAGTCCCTGTCTGTTCATGCATGTGGTATTTTAAAGTCCCTAATATCATTTGGGTCACCTCTGAGTCTGGTTCTGTTTTTTTCATTGTCCCTTGACAATAAGTTGTTAATTGTTTTTTTGCATGTCTCACATTTTTTATTGAAGGTTGAATATCATAAGTAAAACAGTAGATGCTGAGGTAACAGTATTTATACTTGAAAATGACCTCCTCTCTCCTTCCATTGGGCCATTAGTATATGCAGGAGTTGAATTCGGTTTGGGTTTGTTTGTTGTTATGGTTACCTTCAGTGCTTCACAGATTTCAAATTTTTCTAATGCTAGCATGTGCCTAGTGTGGGTGCTGATATCCCAAAAGGTATTTCATAAAGTTTCTGCATCATCCACAGCTTTCGACTATACCTATATGCCTATCATACAAAATCTCTCTCTCTCTCTCTCTCTCTCTCTCTCTCTCTCTCTCTCCTCTCCTCGCCCTCTCCATTCTTGCCCACCACCCAATGGCAGATTACTGCCATTTGTTATATAGTTCTTGTATGCTATTAGTAAAGATCAAATATAGTTCTTGTATGCTATTAGTAAAGATCAAAGGACTTCCTCTGTGCTCGATGCTAAGGGGTGGAGCTCGCTCAACATCCCTGCCCTTCCTTGCAGTGGCAGCCAAACTTGGCTTTGTCTCCGTGATTAATATAGTGCAGTTTTGTGCTCTCTCCCACTGGTAGACGACTAATGGCATTTGGTATAAGATCTTGTCTTCTGCCATTCTCCCAGGGGTGAAATAGCTTTCTTTTTACTTCAAGTCTCCCTGTAGCAATGTGCGTGCCAGAGAGACAGACACTTCCCTGCCCCAATCTTACCAGTGCTCTCACATTTTTGATCAGTATGAGTGAGGTGTCCAAACCAGGGGAGTGGGGCTCCATGCCTTTTTCACAGCAGTGGCTGGTCCCCTTCTCCATGCCTGTTAGATCATGGATGATTCCCTCTGCTCTCATAGCCAGCTCCAGTCTTTCTCATGAGCATGCAGGGAAAGACCACTGCAAATAACATGTGAGTATAAATTCCTCCTGGATCTGGGACACACAACTAGGAGTTCTACACTAACTAACATGCTAGCTCCAGCCATTAGTGACTCATTAAGATGAAATGAATTTCTACTTTCTCACCCATGTGATAGCTATGCCTTTCTTCCTGGCTCTGCCACGGAGTCTGTGCGTCCTATCACTCTCTCCTGGCTGGGGCCAGCCTCGTTTTGGATTTCAGGGTATTTGGTCATCCTGTCACTTTAGCTTCCTGATGGGTCCCAGAAAGCTTTCATTTTGTAGTTGGTCTTGTTTTTGTTTGTGTATGTGTGTTTTTTCACTGTTAGAAAGCAATATTCTTTCCAGTTTTCAATATTACAGACTGAAGTGGAAGTATTTCATAGTAACTTGTTTAAAAAAAAAAAAAAGAAAAAGGCTGTGTGTGTGTGTGTGTGTGTGTGTGTGTTCAAATGGAAAAAAGACTAAGAGAAAAAAATTCCCATATATAAACAGTGATTACCACTATGTGGTACTTTGGGGTCTTATCAATTTTTCTTCTTTATTCTATTCTCTATCTCCCAAATTCTTTACAGAGATTGAATTTTAATAACTTAAAAAAGAGATGTGTATATATACATATATTTGTGCATATTCTACTTTTTTAGATACAAATGACAGAACATTATTTAACCATAGAAATGCCATTTATTTGCTGTTTTAAAAAGAACTTTCTTTCAAAAAGAGTTATATATCCTCAGAATTCATAATTGTATATTTTTTCAATTTTTATAATTCTTTCAGCATTTTTAGCTAATGCGAAAGTGAAAATTCTTGTTGGAAAAAATGAAAACTTGATTTGAGGATAATTATCCTTAAAACTTCATAAAAATCTCAATATAGCAGTTTTCCTTGTTTTGAAAGCCTTGTATTTAAGAGAATTGTTTTATATGTACTGTGTCTCACACCCCCTATTGTAACCTCCCACATGACAGCTATACTTGTCAAAGTAATCTCTGTCACTACAGGTTATAAGGTAAATGTAGAAAGTAAGGTAAATGGCAACCAAATAGTAAAAGGCAGAAATGCATCCCAATTTAAATGTCTATTTTGAACCTACAGTCTAACACACACACACAGAAACACATAGCTACAAGTAAAGCAATACAATGTAAGATGAGTATTCATAGGGTACAGAAGTAGCACAAAGAAGTCATTAGATCAGCTCCATTAGGAATAAAAGTGGTCCAAAAGGCTTCATTCAGTAAATGGTGTTTAAATTGCATCTTGACGGATAGTTAGAAGCTAGTCAAGAGCACTAACAGGGAACAATGATTTGAAATAGAGAAAGAGTCATGAGCAAAGTCAGAGAGTTATAAAATAGTATGTTATGATCAGAAAACAGCAGGTAGGTCAGTATGACTGAAGCACGGGGTGACAGGGAAACTACCCTTGAATATAAATCTGGAAATGGTATAAGGTGGACTAGGTCAAGGGGCGTGGGGGGAGACAAATAGATAAATATGTCAGACTAGAGTAAACTTTATCCTATAGGTCATGAGGAATCCCTGAAAAGGTGAGAAGAAGAAAAGTTAAATGAGATTTGATTTTTGAAAAATGACTCTAGGAGACATACAGAATAGAATCAGGAAAAAAGAAAAGACAGATGGTTGGGAAAGTAAAATTAGAGATAGAAGAACAATTAGGAGACTATTTAACTGGTCCAGGTCAAATAGGACTACCATGTGAATTAAAGCAGCCACACTGTAAACTTAAAAGGTAAAAAACAAGCTGGGAAAAAATAGATTTAAAGAAACTCATTTACAAATGAGTACTACCCTCATTTGTTAAATGTGAACAATTAAGTGATTATCTCAGAAAAATATTACGACAACTACCTGAGTAAAGTATGTAAGATATTAATACAAAGAGTACCAAAGAGTAAGAATTCCAAACATGGCAGTGATTGTTTTATTGATGCTAATACAATCAGATTTGAATCTGGCTTTAACACTTACTCCCTGTGTGATCTGGATGAAGTTATTTAACCTTCCTCTGTAAAACTGAAGTATGCTTCCCAGTACCCCATGGATGAGTACTATTTTGAGTTTTACAGATGTAATAACATACTTGTGAAGTATTTACAGGAATTTAGACCAATGCCTAAAATTTTGTTTTTAAGAATAAGAGTTATTAGAAACAGACTCATAGATACAGTCTAACACACACAGAGAAACACAACTTCCAAAGATAGAATAAGAGTTATTAGAAACAGACTCATAGATACAGAGAACATTTTGACAGTTGCCACATGGGAGGGCGGGTTAGGGGAGATAAAAAAGGTGAAGGGATTAAGAAGTACAAATTGGTAGTTACAGAATAGTCATGGGGATATAAAGTACATCATAGGGAATATAGTCAATAATATTGTAATGAATATGTATATTGTCAGATGGACCATAGATTGATCGGGGTGATCACTTCATAAGTTATATCAATGTCTAATTACTGAGCTGTACACCTGAAACTAATATAATATTGTATGTCAACTGTAATTGAAAAATAAAAATTCTTTTTAAAAAGGAAAGGAATTATTATTTGACAATGGGAGTTGAAAATAATTCTCAGGTTCCTGATTTGAATGAATGGTGGTATCATTCCTGAGAAAAGGTTTCTTTAGAAAGCCAATTATCACGACTATTCTCATTCAAATTCCTTAAGATGAATTAAGTGTCCTTCTAGGTGTTTTAAAAGTACATTACACATATTACAGCATTCATCCTGGTATATTTTACGTGTCTATTTTCATGTTTGTTATCCTCAGTAGATACTGACAATACCTAAGGACAAAAAACTACATCTTTTATTTCTGCATTCTCAAAAAGCAAGATATATCTGATATATAAATAGGCTTAAAAATGTTATTTAAATAATTAAACATAAATTAGCCCTAACTGGTTTGGCTCAGTGGATAGAGCGTCAGTCTGCGGACTCAAGGGTCCCGGGTTCGATTCCGGTCAAGGGCATGTGCCTTGGTTGCGGGCACATCCCCAGTGGGAGGTGTGCAGGAGGCAGCTGATTGGTGTTTCTTTCTCATCGATGTTTCTAGCTTTCTGTCCGTCTCCCTTCCTCTCTGTGAAAAATCAATAAAATATTTTTTAAAAAAAAACAAACATAAATTAAAGGGATTATGGATACCTATAACAAGTCCAGAAACTACTTGAAAAAAGAAAAAAAGGGGATGGGGGTATTACCTGCTACACTACTATTGGCCTTAAAATTTCATCAAATGGAAAGTCAAAACTAATACATTTTACTACTCTTTTCTGAATTCCCACTAAGACAGTGTTAAAGTGTAAATCTGTAAATAGTAGAGAATAAACTAAGTAATACAAGCAAAAACAAGTTAATCAAAAGTTTCCAATCTTCCCTTTCACCATGACTATATAAATATAGCAGTGCTTTGCTATGAAGGACTAATATTAAGACTTTCTAAATCAAAGCTGAACGCAACATCAGAAGTATTTCAGAACACTTATGAATATAGTCTCAATCTCAATATCTCTTACATTTCCACTATACCTTAAATGAAGATCTTCTGAAAATTTCAGACAGGCGTATATAAATTCTTTAATTTGGCTGTAAACTTTTGGCACAAATTCAGAGAAAGGAAACTTTTTTGGAAATGGTTGCTGTAAATGTAAGAATTCATGAAAGTGAATCACAAATGAACGTACATTGAAGGTACTTGTAAATTAGTTAAAATGCAAAAGGAATTTTCTACTACATTGTGAGCTGTCTGCTTAACAATCTCAATTTAAGAAAGTATTTCTGTAAGTTTCCTGATAGTAAAAAGAATAAGATATAAATTTAAATAAAAATAATTTAAATGTCCTCCAAAACATGAAGGGATAAATAAACTGTGATAAGTACTCAGCAGTAAAAAGGAATGAACTATGGATAACATGCAACAACTTGGATGAATCTCAAAAGCATTATACTGAGTGGAAAAAAACAGTCTCAAAAGATTACATACTGTATGACTCCAATTATGTTGGCATTCTAGAAAAGCCAAAAGTAGATGTACATCAACCATATTGGTGGTTGCCAAAGTCTGGGGGAGAGAGGAGGGATTGATTGAAAAGGGGCAGCATGAGGGATTTGGGGTATGATGGAACTGGTCTGTGTCATTACTGTGGTAGTACATACATGACTCAATGCATTGTCAAAACCAACAGAATTATATAGCACATAAGGTAAATTTCACTGTATGTTTTGGGGAGAAAATGTCCTAAGGGTATAATAAAAGCAAGTACTTCAAAGTGTAAACCAAATACTTCAATCCCCCAAATACTTCAGAGGACCCCACCAAAGCCATCTACTGACTCCCAAAACAGAAACTTCTGTTCTAAGCCCAAGGTATCCCTTGAAGGTGTTCTAGTTCTAACCCACTGAGTGAGAGATAATCCCTTTAATAAGACTGATACAATGAAAGCTTGTAAAGGATGCCACCCAAACAGGGAAGTTTATTTTCAATTACTTACCTTTTCCAGCTCTACATCTTGGAATGGGAATTGTCCTACCACCTTTTTATACATCTCTTCACTTGTTACTGGTATAGGACTGTAGTTGTCAGAGTCAAGTATGTTTCTATAAAGAAAATAAAGGATGGATGGATGGAAGGAAGGAAAGAGGAAGGGTTAGTCACTGTAAGGATAAGTAATTTTCAGGTAAATTCTAATGGTTGTATGTATATATACCACAACCCAAAATAAACATTTCCCAGTCCCTATTCTATTGCTTCTACGACATAACTATTTGGTTTCGGATAAGGACATCCTTCAAAGGAAGACAAAAAGACAACTATATTCTGAAACAAATAGAACACAAATAGAACAAATATGACCTCACGGTATTTAAGATTTACAGATGATACAGAAAATTTAAGGCAACATATTGAAGCCTTAAGTTAAGTAAGTTAACAATGAAAGAATGTGTGCTCTGGAAAAAGCAAAGGGGTTTCATTTGTTTTTAAATAAGATATATTTGATTATTAATATTCTTTAACCCTATACTAGACCTTCTATTCAAACTATTTAAATAGTGTTATAACAACTATTTAAATAATATGCTTCAAATATTGGATTGTAATAGGCCTCTTCTCTAAGTGTGAAGAAGGAAAAAGATGAGGAATCTCATGAGTAAGACTTCAAAAAAGGTTCCAGAGAAGCTAAATTATTCAAAAGGGCTCAAAAGCCACTACCTTATGAATAAGCAATAGACAAGACATGTTCTCCAAAGAGAAAACAAAAAATTGAATAAGAAGACAAAAGATTATATATATGGTATGAACCAAAATATTTGACGTTTATTCAAAGAAACAAAAAAAGCCACAATGAGATTTGGGGGCTCCCCACATGTTAGACCTATCACTGATTTTTGAATAACTAGGAAACTTTATTTGGGATATCATTGCAATTTACTTTTATTAACAATCATAACCTGGATCATAGACATAAAATATAAGCCTACTTGTTACCCATCCTATATAATAAAAGCCTAATATGCTAAGTGTCTGGTCGTCTGGTCATCCGTTCAACCAATCAAAGCATAATATGCTAATGATATACTAAGGCTGCTCAACCGCTCACTATGACGTGCACTGACCACCAGGGGGAAGACGCTCCAACTGGTAGGTTAGCTTGCTGCTGGGGTCCGGCTGATAGGTCAGGACTGGGCAAGATGGGCCAGACACACCCTGGAGCCCTCCCACAGTCCCTCCCCAACTGGCTAATCTCCCTCGTCCCACCCCGGCTCCAATTGTGCACCAGTGGGATCCCTTGGCCTGGCCTGCGCCCACTGCAATCCAGGCCCCCTCAGGGGATGTTGGAGATCCGGTTTCAGCCAGATCCCACAGGCCAGGCTGAGGGACCCCACTGGTGCACAAATTTGTGCACCGGACCTCTAGTTATATCTGAAAAACCTTATGTACAAACACATTGTACACACATGTATTTGCACTTGCACACACTATATGACTATAGATCATTTCTCACCTGAAAATACCTGCCCACTTCTTTAGCAGAGTTTCACTATATTGATCTCTAATTTCTAATAGCATATCAAAAAGCTGATTTACAGGAAAACCATAAACCTGAAACAAAGTAAAAAAATAGCTTCATTTTATAAGGTGATTTTTGTTAGTAACATGAGAGAGATTAGGCATTGAAAGGTATCTTTATTCCTTTAGCCAACAATTTAAATGTAACCATGATAAAGAGTCTTTCATTCTCACCTAATATTTAGTATTTATCTCTCACAAATTAAAAGGTACATACCAAATTATTTGTCAGTCAGCAAAAATAAAAAGATGAATATTAAAATCAATATATTGTATACAGGTTATAACATCAGCTAAGCTCTACCTACAACTCTGCCTGTAACAAGAAATAGGGAGATAAACTGAAAATGCTACAAATCTCACCCACTTCTAATGCTATTTTATTAATATAATATGTGGTTCAAATCAATAATTATTATTCAAGATGGTAGCTAAAAACCTCTAAAGTCACTCAGGTACTATATCTGAATTAAGAAAATTTTGGAAAACTAAGGTAGTAGCTGGTTCAATTAATTGATTTTCTCCAAGGGGAAAAAGAGAGGGATGGGAACTATTTATGAAAACATAAATGGTCAAGGTGATGGGCCAGGAAATGCTATAGAAAGATTAAAAAATCTAATTCTAGGAAAAGAAGAAACACAACTAAAAACTGAAAGGTACTTATTCAAATTTAGGCAGCCAGTGAAAAGATTTAGAGCTGATGGAAATACTAATCTAGATAAACAGAAGTCACAAACCTGAAGTGTATCAGCAAAAAGCACAATGAGGTTCTTCAAATCTAACACGAGGTTTGGATCAGAGCAGTAAGACTAAAGGAAATAGAAGACAATTAGGAAAACATCTTAATCATTAAAAATAAAACTAAATTGTGATTTAATTGTTTACTGCTTCACCTGGTGAAGGATCCCAAGAAAGGGTCCAACACCAGATTTAAGGTAACATGAGATTTGAGAGCTGAGCAGGATACAAAGATGTATATATCACTGTTTTAAAAATTCAGCCTGGTTGGTGTTGCTCAGTGGTTGAGCATCGAACCAGGAACCAAGAGGTCATGGTTTGATTCCCAGTCAGAGCACATGCCCTAGTTACTGGCTCTATCCCCAGTAGGGGGCATGTAGGAGGCAGCTGATAGATGTTGATGTTTCTCATCAACGTTTCTATCTCTCTCTCCCTCTCTTTCTCTAAAAATCAATAAAAACATATTTAAAATAAATAAAAGTTCAGTGATTTAGGTATTCAAATTTTGGGAATTCTAATTTGGTTATTTTCTCTGTACTTGATATCTCGGTTCCTGAAAGATGTGTGCTAAATTTTCCCACAATGGGGCAGTGCATTAGTTTCAATTCTTATTACTAACAGTTTTTGTTTTTATACCTATTTATGCTTGCTTGTCTACTGCAAATAAGCTACTGTCTTTTTGGTGGGTTAAAACTGATATTAATACAAAACATGCCTCTCCTCCCCCACTTAATGGTTTTCAACTTCATTTTTATTTGCCTTGTATAATATTGCTATTTCTGCTTCTCTTTCTTCATTTTCAAACTTTGTAGGTAATCTTAATTATGTATGACTATCTCTTATTAACCAAACTATAAAACTTTCTAACTTTGACATTTCCCATGATTACTGACATATTTGGACCTATTCCAGCCATTTTAAGCTTTCTATTTATAATTATTTCTTTTGTTTGTTTGTTGCCTTTCATGTTTTTCATTGGATCAATTATTTTTACATTATCTTATAGTGGTTATTAATAAGTTATATACTTTCTGTCCACTAGTTTACTTGAAATAATCTGGAGTTTTCACTGAAACTTTTTAAACATTAAGCCTCTCCTTTTGTATGGATTCTTAACAGCATTAAACTTTGCAAACAAATAATCAGTTATTTAGATTTTTCCATGAGTTTTACTCTCTTTTTAACATATTATATTTAATCCTATCTCATCTTATATTTTGGATTTCTTTTTCATTTTACATTCCTTATTGTAGAATACCAATAAGATAGGATAGGTTCCATGTAAACTTTGAATCCTGATATGTATGAAAATGCTTTTCTCTTGCCCTCAAATTAAAATATAAAATTTGAGATGTAAAAAAAAATTGCCTGCTGTCATTTACCCTGCTTGATACAAGATGCATTCTTTCAACTTTAATAATATAGTATTTCTTCACTGCAGGGAAATTTCCTTCTTTTATTTCTTTAATTATTAAAGTCCCCTCCATTGTGACTGTCCTTTTTTTTAAAAGTAGCTAATAGATACAACCAAAACTCTACTTCAATTATCTATGTTTTTCAACATTCATATTTTCCATCTCCATCTTGGGTAGGCCCAACAGGATGTCCAGATTCTAAGTTCAAATTGTCTGAACTAACAAGTGAGTACAGGCTCTGTGTAAGTGGATGGGGCAGATGAATCACTGTGTTCAAAAAGCAGTACCAGAGCACTTCCATCGTGCTATTTTCTCTTTATTTAGATGGTAAGGTTGGCCAAAGGAATTGGATAAGCAGCTGGCTGACCAAAGGTTTTAGAAAGCAAACCTCTAAATAATTTCTCTTATGATTTATCCTAGGCCCATTCCTGCTCATTGTATTGGTTTGACTCTGAATTTTATGTGTTCCTACATTCCACTTGGAAGAATGTCTCCTACTTTGACAATAACCCTACCATGCATAATATACTTTTTATTCTCAGGTTCAGTCATTATTCTGATTCCATCTATTTTCTACGTTCAAAGATATTTTTTGAAATTTCTAGCCTATAGATGATACTTTGTAGAGTTTCTCATTTTGGGTTGTCCTCCCAACCCCTGCCATTTATTTCCATGAGAACTTGGTTAGGAGATCAGGAAGGCACACATGCTTAGTATACCCTTTGACTAAAAAAAAAAAAAAAAAAAAAATATTAAAATATGTGTGTGACAGGGAATAGGTTTGGATGTGGGTGTGGGTGTGTATAAAATGACTATCACAGTACACAATCTTGACTACTAAGAAGAAAAAATGATCAATATTTTATATCTATAAAAATAAGTGTTTTGAGCCACAAAGAATTATACTATTGCATAATTTTGAATCTTAAAAATACCTTTTCAGTATTATCAGATGATCTGTTTATCATACTAACAGTCATATTAGCAATTATATTAGCATATCTAATATTAAACCATTCCTGATATGAACTTCTTTGTGTAAGCATGTTACTCTTTTAATATATTGCTAAATTTGAATTCTAAGTGAGACAGATTGTATAAGACCTTTATTATTTTGAAATCAGCATGAGACTATTACACACATTAGTACCTGAAATGTTATATTTTTTGAAATGTTTCAAAATTATACAATGACTAATAATTCAATTGAAAAAGGAAAAAAGCAGTTTTAAATAGTGACATAGAAAGTTACACATCTATATATATGTGATTTCTGATAAACAAAAAACATAATCACTCAGATATAGAGTTTGTTTTGAGATTTGTTTTGATGTTTGGGTCATTCTTATTTTGCTTGGCTTGCTGGATAATATAAACCATAAACAGTGTCATAAAATAGAATTAGCATGTGTGGCGTCAACTACTTTGTCTCAGAAAGGATAAAATGGTTCAGTGAATAAATGAGGATGATGCTAACTTATTTTTTAATAACTCTCTTGAGATACAATTCCCATACCACACAAGTCTCCCATTTAAAGTACATAATTCATTGGTTATTAGATTTTTGTATGTTCACAGATATGTATAAACATAAATAAAGTCAATTTTAGAATATTTTCTTCACCTCAAAAAAAAAAAAAGAACAAAAAATCCCGTGCCCTTTAAGCCATCACCTCCTTAACTCCTCTTACCCATGCCCAGCCCTAAACCACTACTAATCTACTTTCTCCCACTGTAGATTAATGCTGAGCTATTGGGGAGGAGGGGCACTTTGTCATTTATTCTTCAATTCAAAAGAATATACAGTTGATCTGCAATGAGAAACTCCATTATGATTACTTTCTACACACATATATACTTTCATCAGCACACTTGGAAAGTGTCCTGTTCTTACAGACATCAAATGCAATTGCATGATGAAGAGAGTACATTGTCCTGCTGAGAGAGTTCTATAAATTTATCACGTGGATTCATCAAATGTATCAGTCACATACAAAAAGTTAAGAACCACTGCTCTACATTAAAAAAAAAATGCTTGAAAGAAATCTAAGTTTCCTAAAAGAAAAACAGCTTTTTCCAGGAAAAAAATAAAATGGGTAAATCACTGAAATAAACAGATATAAAAACAAACAAAATCAAGGATTTCCATAGAAGGACAGCAATATTAGTTAATAAAAATGATTGGGAGAAAAAACCTTCCTCAAAATATTACCTGAACGCTGGTTGTGGGTTCAATTACTGGTTAGGGCACATACCTAGGTTACTGATCAATCCCTGGTTGAGGAGCGTGCAGGAGACAACGGATCAATGGGTCAATGTTTCTTTCTTTCTCTCTGTCTCTCTCTTTTCAAAAAAAAAAATCAATAAACATAATCCTCGGGTGAGGATAAAATATGAAAAAACCATAATGCACCAAAAATAGGACTTAGATGGGGAGCATATAAAATATTTTACCAAACAACATGAAAGCAGGTAAGAGAAAAATACATATATTCTTGGTGAAAAATACCAGAATTTGAAATATATCAATTATTTCCAATTAAATTTATAATAAGACTATAGTTCAAGTAGGAGGATAGAGGGGAGGGAAGAGGTGGAAGAAATGTGACAAAGTAATTCTCAAATTAATCTTGAAAAATAAGATAGCATATTTTAAAAATAGGATTTTTAGAGAATACACATGTCCTATAAAAATTAAACCATACTATATCAGATGTAATGTAATCAATATGATATATTGATTTAAGACATTCAGAGAGAAGGAAAGGGAAAGGGAGAATCATAGAGCCTAAAAACAGACCTTAGTATACATATTATTATATGATAAAGGTGGGCTTCAAAATATGTTGGGAAAGAGTAGATGTTATGGACTGAATGTTATGTCCCCCAGTATGTCTATTTTTACAGATGTGGCCTTAGATAATTAAGATCAAATGAAATAAGGTGGGGCATTAATCTAATGGGATTGGTGTCCTTACAAAAGGGTAAGGAAACACTAGAATATACTGAGGAAAGACCATGTGAGACACAATAAAAATGCTGCCATTTGCAAACCAGGAAGAAAGTTCTCACCAAAAACCACCATGCTGGCACCCTGACCTCAGATTTCAAATGATACACACATAATTATTTTAAAACAGTGAAACACTGAATAGCATATAGATAATAAGCTCGAAGTAAGCACCTCTCTTGGGCTTCTTACATACCGAGTGGGTACGGAGTGCGGCAATGGTTTTGGAAAGCGCCATTTCCCATAGTTCATCAATGTAGGCTCTATTTACTAAGCCCTGGGTCGTATGTAAAATATGATCTTCAACCACAAAAAAGCTAAGATTGGGGAAAAGAGAAAGCACAGTTGTCAGAAATTACAGTTTGCATACTATATCCAGGGTTTGACAAACATTAAGAACTGTCACTAAATTCTAAGTTAATAGTCATTTTTTTTCTAAAAGAAAGCTGTCTGGTATCATAAATGAAATCAGATTTCTTGGACTTAGTATTATGCTCCTGATCTTGATATCTTCTTAACCACTTTTACTAAACTTGGAGTTACATTTTTGTTAAATGTTAACCATATTACCTAGCAATTTAAAAGGGAAGAAAATGTTTATAGGTAAAAGAGGATAATTTTTATTATCCCAATAAGTATATTTTAAAAAGCCAATAGGTTTTTAAAAGACAATAAAAGGTAAAATACATATATTTTAAGAACCCAACAAAAAATATCAAAATAATTACCCTTGTCCTTATAAAGACTTTCTCAACAAACTATTAAAGAGGTATCTTACAAAGGTTAAAAAAAAATGTATACTTATTTTTTAACATTCTGCTGAGGCTTTTACATTTTTATGCATTTAAAATGTATTTTCAACTATCTTGCCTAAATATTCATACTAATTAAAATTAATAATGTAGAACCACTGCTCTACATTAAAAAAAAAATGCTTGAAAGAAATCTAAGTTTCCTAAAAGAAAAACAGCTTTTCCCAGGAAAAAAATAAAAAGGGTAAATCACTGAAATAAACAGATATAAAAACAAACAAAATCAAGGATTTCCGTAGAATTAAAATAATAATTCTTTAAATACAGAGTATTTATGATATATTTTAATCAAAACTATCAGTTACATTGAAACAATCTTAGTCTTAAAAAATAAGTTTCATGGAACAATTCAATTTTTTTCCTTTTCTTTTAACTGCAAAGTCATATTCTGAATTAGAATAAGATGCCTACATTTGGGATGTTTATCTGGGGACTGCAATTCCATACTAGTACAGATACTCTAGATGAGGGTATAACCCACTGTGTGTTTTCATAAATATTGTTTTATTGGAACACAGCCATGCTCACTCATTTGAGTAGTGCCTATAGTTGCTCTTGCATTGCAACAGAGCTGAACAGTTGTGACAAAAAAAAAAAAAAATTACAGCATGGTAAGCCTAAAATATTTTACTATCTGGCCACTTTAGAAAAAGTTTGCCAACTTTTGCTGATTATTTGGTTCCCTCTTACCAAGCATGGAGAAACAAAACATCAAATATAATAATGTTTATATAATGTTGAAACCAATAGGACATTCCTTTAAAATAATCAGAAAGTCAAGACTAAATAAATCTTGTCTTAAAAATGTTAAAAAAAAATAAATCTTGTCTTAAAAATTTAAAAAAATAATGAAAACTTGATTTATTTTTCCAAGTCTCACAAATAATATACATTCAACATACACATGCACACACAGATGCATATACCTACCCTACAATTTGATTAAAATACTTCCTGTAGCCATCTAAAGTTTCATGCTGCAACAAAGTAAAAAAGAAAAATGTTATTATTTATGCTTTGATACATTACGATAGAGCTAATATCAGCTTTTTAATTTTTTAAGACTCAGTTCCCAAAACTATAAGAAAAATATAATAACAGTACCTACTTTAGAGGGTTACAGTGAGAACAAAATGAGACTTAGAACAATGCCTGACACATGGTAATCAATAGATGTTAGAGTTGCTATTTTCTTACATTCATCAAAAGTGGTCTCAAACTAACAGTTAAAAAAAAAATTTGCTAAGCACATATGCAAAACAATTAAAAGATACCAGAAAAGTAAAAAGGTGAGGAAAATAAAGGTGGGGATCCTACCATGTTAGATGGAGGCTGGAGCACCAAACGGGCCTGTTTTCGCCTCTGTTTTCGGTAATAGTTCTCAAATGTTTCCCGGGCACCCTGTAAATAAATGAAAGGAAATGAATTGACACAACAGGACCAATTATTCTAGTATTTTATGAGAAAAGAGAAGGTCCCAGGGTCTGGAACTGAGGCATCCCCACCTTTCTGAAAATATGCTATTTTAACAATTATAGTAATCATAGAAAAAATAAAAATAACTATTATCATTTGTTGAACCTTACTTACAAATCCTGTAGGGAAGGATATAAAAGATTTTTAAGAGGAAACCACCAGAAATCAACCTCAAGAACACCAAAGCTGGTTTCTGAATCAACTATCACAGATTCACAAGAATAAATACGAACCAACATTCTCATAGGTTAGCAGTTGAGAAAATGTTCCTTAAAAAACCTTACAGAACATTCCTGAAGAAAAAATGTCTAGAATAAAACTGAATCATGAGCAAAGGGCCAAAGAGAGGCAGGAAAAAGGTAGGAACTGAGGACAGTAAATCAGTCTTCCCAGATAGAATATACTCTAGCACAGAATTGACACAAAAGGGAAGGGAAGGAGAGGGAAGGGGGAAAGCCCTGGAAATTCTTGGTGCATAGTTTCCCCTTTTCATTTATAATTCTAGGCTTACCTGTAGGTGCTAAAGGAACAAAGCCTGCCTCAAGAGCTCTGGAACTGGATTATATTGAATAGTGTCCTCTCAAAATGCATGTCCTTCCCTGGATCTCTCAATGTGATCATTTTAGAAACAGGGTCATCCTTGATGCAATTTGTTAAATTAATATGCAGCCAGACTAGAGCAGGGTGGCCCTTAATCCAATGTAACTGGTGTCCTCAAAAGAGAGGAGAAAAGACACAGAGAAGAGACAAATAGAACATCATGTGGTGACACAGACTAAGACTGGGGTAGTGCGGCCACAAGCCAAGGAACACCAAGGAGTGACAGCCACCGCCAGAAGCTAGCAAGATGCAAGGAAGGATTCTATCCAGGGTCTGAGAGGGTGGGTGACACCTTGATTTTGGATTTCTAGTCTCCCAGACTATGACAGAACAAATGTCTGTTGTTTTAAACTACATAGTTTGTAGCAGTTTGCTACAGCAGCCCAAGAAAATTAATATAAGTTCAAAGCTTTTAAAACATATGCTCCCTTATAACTAAATTTTACTTTTAATCCAAGACTTCTCTAAATAAACAAGAGTGGAAAGGGAGAGACAGCATTGCACACTGGTTAAAAGTGATGATTTTGGAACCGGACGATTTCATTCAAACCGTGACTCTGCCCCTTAGTAGCTCTACAACTCACATGACTAGCTATATAACTCCCCTTTCAGTAATGTAACTTCCACTATTTAACCACTTAGCTTTCACAAATAGATGTACCATGGTTTTCTCATTTGTAAAGATGCCAACCACACAGAGTTGTTATGAAGATTTAGAAGAGTTACAAAGCTTTTAGAACAGTGTCTGATAAATAATAACCCCTATGCAAGTGTCTGTTTAAAAATTAAATAAGATAAATCAGTGAAGAAAGTGAAAGCCCTGCCCATGTGAGAAAGTATAAACATCCTGCAATACGAAGCTCGGTTTCCTTCACGTCCCCAGAAGTCTGAAGAATTTCACCCAACATGACTTCTTTGAATTTGATTTAAGGTGCTAGAGCATGCAAACACAATAGTGTAGCTTAGGGGTTACCAAATGTTTTCTGTAAAGGGCAGGATAGTAAGTATGTTTAGGTTTGGTTACCATACAGTCTTTGTTGCAACTATTTAACGCTCCCGTTGCAGAGCAAACACAACCACAGACAACACATAAATCAGTGTGGTTGGGTTCCAATAAACCATATTTGTGGAAACTGAAATTAGAATTTCACATAATTTCCACCTGTCATGAAATATCATTCTTCTTTTGATTTTTTTTACCATTTAAAAATATAAACATTTTCGTTCACAGGTCATACAGAAACAGGCAGGAGGCAGGAATTGGCCCATGGGTCATGATTTGTTGAACCCTGGTGTAACTTAAAAACACAGGTTTTAAAAAATGCTGAAGTGATAATAACTGTACACACCTGAGTTTTTCTGCCTATAAAATCAAATCAAACACTAAGACAGCTATTTTAAGGCTTTCTTAGTCCATACGTTAATGAGGTAGCAAATGATTCCATTTAAAAACTAAGAAGTGGAAACTGCCTGTTGGTTTGTTAAAGTTATTCCCCACTTGTCACCATTTCACAGCATAGTGGTATTATTAAATGTCAATTACATTCTGTACACACTGAAGAGCTTTTCATTTTAAGGTTAACAGTCCTAAAGGCCCTTTATTATTCTGGTGTGATGTTACATATTCAACATGCTTTGGAGCCAAGATACACTTAGCTGAGAATTTAGGGAAAGACTTCTCTTTAATTAGACCATAGTATACTAATTGAATTATTTTTTATAAATGATAGAAAATACACAAGATGAAATTCTATACAAAAACCAAATCATGGTCCTCTACTTAATTCTAAACTAGATACAATTTTGCCTTTCAAATAATCACTCAATAGAATAAAAACGTAAGAAAAGACCAACTTATCTAATTTACAAAAATGAGTTAGATTTTCCCTAATGGCTGCTAAAAAACATTCACCTCTGATTATTCTATTTCCTCTGCCAATTTTGTCAAGTCGGTGCTTACAGGTGGAATTTGAGAAGCAGATGTCTGAGCGGTGCAGCTGAGTAACTGATGAAGTGCCTGCCTACTCACAAACATGTCAAATGTGAACAGTAGAGATTTCCACTTCAGCTTCAAACTCCTTCAATCACTAATATTTTTTAAAAGCTATTAAAGGCATAAGCAATATAGAAACAAAATAATAGACGGGCAAGTACAAAGATGTTTGTTTGTTTTTTCATTTTATATCACAGTGCTCCAAAGGCTTTGTAATAATTAATACATACAATATCACAGAAAAACAAGTCACTTATCTATGAGGTGCCATATTACCATGTGATAGTCACTGAGCATTGCCTCTGCCTTCACAGAATTTATAGTCTATGGTGGAAGACTAACAATTAAGCAAGCAATTATATTAAAATAAACTACAAAACCCTATGGATTATAGGGAATGAGTGAGTGTGTGAGTGAGAGTGTGTGTGTGTGTGTGTGTGTGTGTGTGTGTGTGTGTGTACTGAGTGGAAGGAATGTCAGAGAAGGCTTGCCAGAAAAAAAATGACATTTATACTCATAATTAAAGAATAAGTCAGAAGAATAAAAAAGGGGGAGAAGGAATGTTCCTTATAGAGACACAGGGGGTCAGAGAAAAGAGGCATCACACATCCCATGGACTGAAAGTTATTTCTGGCTGGAACTCGGGGGTTACATGAGAGGGATGACGTTAAGATACTTGGACTTGAACTGTAAAGGCTTAAGAGTTTTTGACACCTGGAAGTTTAATGTAATGCATAGAATAAAGAAAGGGGAAATTAGGTACAAAAAGATCAGTCAGAATCTGACATATATTTAGGAGGTACAAGCCAATGATTGATTGGATACAGGAAGGAAAGAAGGCTGATGTGAGGTTTCTAACTGGGAACTAGTTTGACGGTGGTGTCATTTAATAAGAAAGGAAAATACGAGAAAGAATATACAGTCAAATACTATTCGTGGATTCCATATTTGTAAATTTGCCTACTTGTTAACATTTATTTATAACCTCAAAATCCATTCTTGTGACTCTTTCATGGTCATTTAGGGGTGTATGCAGAGTAGTAAAAAATTTGAGTTGCCTGATGCACATGTTCCTGGCTGAGGCTGAACAAAGCAATGCTCTGCCTTCTTATTTTTGTTTACATACTATATATAAACAACTATCCTTTTCATAGTCTATCTAGTGACACATTTTTTGTATTTGTGCTTCTTTTTTTAAAATTGAGATATAATTGCTATAGAACATTATATTAGTTTCAGGTGTAGAACATATTTGCCAATGATACATCTGATAAAGGGTTAATTTTCAAAATATATAAAGTACTCATACAACTCAACAAAAGGAAGACAAACAATCCAATCAAAAAATGGGCAGAGGAGCTAAACACACACTTCTCCAAAGAGGACATACAAATGGCCAAGAGACATATGAAAAAATTCTCAACATCACTAAACATCAGAGAGATACAATTAAAACGACAATGCGGTACCATCTCACACCTGTCAGAATGGCTACCATCAACAAATCAACAAACGACAAGTGTTGGAGAGGATGTGGAGAAAAAGGAACCCTCGTGCACTGCTGGTGGGAATACAGACTGGTGCAGCCACTGTGGAAAACAGTATGAAGTTTCCTCAAAAAATTAAAAATGGAACTCCCATTTGACCCAGTGATGCCACTTCTAGTAATATATCCTAAGAAACCCAAAACACCAATCAGAAAAAATAGATGCACCCCTATGTTTATAGCAGTACAATAGCTAAGATTTGGAAACAGCCTAAGTGCCCATCAGCAGATGAGTGAATAAAAAGCTGTGGTACATTTACACAATGGAATACTATGTAGCTATTTAAAAAAAAGAAGGAACTCTTACCATTTGCAACAGCTTAGATGAACCTGGAGAGTATTATACTAAGCAAAATAAGCCAGTCAGAGAAAGGTATCACTCATATGTGGAATCTAATGAACAAAATAAACTGATGAACAAAATAGATCCAAAGGCACAGAAGCATGAAACAGACTGACACATTTCAGAAGGAAGGCAGGATTGAGATGTGGGAGGGCAGAGATTAGCCTGGGAACTTATATGCAGAGCCCATAGACACAGACAATAGTCTGGTGAAGGCCTGGGAGGGGCGTGTGTGGGGTGGAGGGGGCCAATGGGGGCGGGGGGGGGGGACAGAAACAGAGAGGACATCTGTAGTACTATCAACAATAAAGATAAATTTAAAAAATAATAAGGCAGGATGTGCCTTATGGAGAAAACACATGTTTTAGATAAGCTTCATTCAGGCATGAGTTATAATGCTGTTGACTATTAATTCAATATTAATGAATCAATAATATATATTG